ATGGCCCAGCAGCAGATGAGCAGCTCGCAGAAGGCGCTGATGCTGGAGCTCAAGTCGCTGCAGGAGGAGCCCGTCGAGGGCTTCCGCATCACGCTCGTCGACGAGTCCGACCTCTACAACTGGGAGGTGGCGATCTTCGGGCCCCCCAACACGCTCTACGAGGGCGGCTACTTCAAGGTAGGGCCCGGCGGAGGCCGCGCGCTCGGGCCGGGGGGGCGGCGGCGCCGCGGGGCCTGCACCGCGCCGGCCCCCGCAGGCCCCGCAGGCCCCGCGGCCCTTCCGTCCCTCCGTTTGTGCGTGTTTTCCTCGGTGATATTTTAAGGCAAGGTGTGAACTCGCCCTCCCCGCCAGGCCGTAGTCTCTGTGTATCTACCCCAAGTGTGGGGGGCCCTTCCCTTCYCCTCCGTCCTGGTGGGGGGGCAGCAAATGCGGGGCCAAGGCCCACCCTGCTGTGCTTGCCGTCAGTATTTTACTTATTTATTTGCCCTCCATGACTTTATAGCCTCCCTTTGCTAGCGGGGAGAGCCTGGCGACGTGGAGGAAAGCGCTTAGCTGGTCCGGGGGGACGAGCGCTTTCAATTCCTCTCCCCGTCTTCCTCTCAGCCCTGAGAAACTTGGGTGGCTGTTGCTGTAAACAGAGTAAACAAGAAGTCCGGTGCTGCCTTCCCAGGGCAGGGCTGGGGGGAGAAAACCGCGGCTGCCGGAACAGCTCGGGGAGGCAGAAGCGCTCCCCAGCACGAGGGGAAACGCTGGTGCCTGCAGAGGGGCCGGGGTGTCGGGCAGAGCCCTGCGAGCGCCCCAGTGCCCGCTTGGGTCCTGGCAGAAACGGTGTTGCCTTCAGCTTGTGTCCGCTGGAGCGGCTGGCACCTCACGCCAGCGAGTGCCCTTCACTCCCTGTCRGCCTGGAGGGGAAAATAATTCTTTTTTGGATGATTTTGCTTGGTTGAGATGCATCTTTAGTGCCTTTTTCACACCTCYGGGTCAAGGCTTAAGCCCTCTATTCCACAAAACTAAAATAACCTGTAGCYTAGGGAATAGTCGATCCGAGTCACGTTCAGTTTGGCCTCCTTGTTTTGGAGGAAGGGAAGGTTTTTGGCACAAGCCCTTCCTTTTGTAATGAGCTGGCCGCCTTGCTCATGGAGGTGTGATACGGATGTTCTTGGATGCACCTCCATTATTACTTATTCAGGAAGTAGCTCTGGTCTTGGAGTAGTAACTGGGTCACTTTTGCATCGGAATGGCTTGGCTGAYTCTTCCTCTATTTAGATTACTCATCAGTTTTCAGACAAATCAGATGGATCAAAGTATTATTGTCTTATTTTGGAACTGTCTGGTTCCTATGTGTAATTTTTCTTGGAAAGAAAGCTATCGAAGATGGGTAGAAGACTCTGAGGATGCACGTTCAGAAGTGTGCATTTTGGCAAGATTGCTGATGTTGGCTTATTTCAGCATATTCTGGCTGGGATATTTCTAAAAGGTGTTGTCCTTTGCTGCAGTGCTTCTCTAAGTTCTTCTGGCAGGTGAAGACCTGGCTCTGAGGAGCCCCACAAATGCCCTGTTGTGTTTATTTTGAGAAGAGGAGACTGTTAGTTATCTTCATGCCTCCGTTTCTGTTGTATTTGAATGATTCCCTTTACACAGCAGGGCCGGGGTCTGTTGTATATATTTTTCCCTACTGATCTCCTACTGTGGGAGGATCCATATTTGCTGTTTTTGTTTTGATAGCACTTATTTTGTTGGTATTCATCCTAAACTTCCAACCACTGGAAAAAAATACAATCATGGACCCTAATTTGGCCTTTGGAAGATGGAATCCTGTTGTCCTGCTTGAAGCTTTTGACTTTTTTTGTGTTGTTGTACCAGGCCTCCAGGCAAACCTCAGGGTGTGTTAGACTTGGTTTGTTGAATGCTTTAGAGATGAGACTGATACCTGGAATTTTATTTTTTGAGGTACTTTTGTGATATATTCATAGCATGTTGAGGGAGGACACTTGAGTTGAATCATTAGCATCTGACTTATTTTTCTAAGATTTCTCAGCTTGCTGATTTAAACAATCTATCTTAAGCTTTGTTTCCTCCTTCCTGATATTAAGGAAGTAGCATGAGAAATTAAGATTTATAACCTATAAGTTTTTTTCTGCTTTGTGGCTTTATGGGTTTTTTTTTTTCCCATTTGCTTGAGGTGTCTTTGAAGCCAGGAGCAAGAGGGGAGGTACAAAATCTTTTATGTAAATCTAACTATTCTAAGGGAAAATGTGCATTTAAAGTTACCTTAATAAAGAGTTACTGGTTGTGAGGAAAACTCTTGGTTTGTGAAGTTTTCAGAGCTGGTAATTTCAGCTTTTTGCACCTTGTTTATTCTTGGAGAAATATGACCTTTCTCTATGGATTGCTGAACTAGCTGAATAAACTGAAGTGAGGAAAGAGTTCTCTTTGCACCTCTTTGAAAGGAGCTGCTGCTGTTAAAAGCTGGTCTAACATTTCAACAGATTCTGGTTTCAGTTGCTAATCCAGTAACTTTATCACTTGATAAATTTAAGCAGAAAACATGGACTATTTAATGTTTAAGTGGTACATTACGAGTTCCTTAGTGCAGGCTATAATAAAATCAGTGACCTCTTAAAACTTTAAGAATACTATAAACACGAGGCTGATAAAAATCTGGATTTATGTTTGAGATGTATTGCAGGACTTGCGGCTACACGGAGGTGGCAGGATCRGTCAGAAACAGCGTTTTGTGCAGAGTGGCACCAGCGAGGGCTGAGGACTCTCATGAACTGCAGGTCTCCCCCTGAACCCCCCTCATCCAGGTAGCTGAAGGTGCCCATCTGCAAGGTTATATCACCAATCCAGATATTCTTGGAGTGCTGTCCCATGCTCTGTTAATTTTTCATTTATTTTGTGGCTTTATAGTCAAAGTCCCATTTCTGAGTAGGACTGTATAAGTAAGTTTTAACTATTTTCTTCAGTTCTAGGTTACTCCCCTTAAAGGAAGAGCTAAGCTGCTTCATGTACTGGTCACCTTTCATTCATTGCTGGCAGGACAAAGGGATCTCGTAGTCAGGGGTGTTAAATCCTTCATGTRGGTCAGAAGAGAACAGCAAGTATCTGTCCTTCTGTAGCTCTCAGCAGGGGGATTGTCCATCAGTACAGCTGAAACTTCTCCTTTTTTCTCATCACGGTCTGCTCTGGGCTTCAGGTGTATTTGATTGTGCTAAGCAAAATTGGGTTTTGCTCCTTGCCTCATTCTGAATTTGCCTAAAGGAGAAAGGTGGAGAGAACTAATGGCTAAGGTGTAGGTTTCTTTGCAGCAGGTTCAATTACTGAAGGTTTTTGAATAAGAAAGGGAAGAATATTTGCAGAATAAAGTATTTCCTGTCCTGTTTATAGATGGTGCAAGCTGCTGTTTCCTTTGGTCAGTTAAGAGTGACAGGACTCTCATCTTGAGATGAGTCCTCTGGCCTGTGTAGTAATCCTGAGTTCTTTGGGAACTCGGGGCACAGGGCCTTTGGATTTGCTGGTAGTGCCTGGGATATGGGGACCTAGATGCTGCTGTTGACCACAGGGCTGCTTGTAAACAGTTCATCCATGTCCCCCTTTATGCTGCAGCTATCTTCACTGCAGCTGAGCAGTTCTTGGCTGTGTGGCTGGAGGACTCTTTGCCTTCAGCTTTGGCAGCAGATATTTAAGTGTGGATCAACACGACGCAGCCCATTAAGCTATGATCTGTTGATGACGGGTGCTGGCGGTGAGAGGCTGCAGTGGTTCAGGATAAAGAATGCTGAAGCTTTCACTGTTTCCATAGACATTTGTATGGTTGGTCTGGCCTTCAGTCCGCTTTGAAAATCTTTGCTGAGCAACTTCATGTCTGGGTCTTCGAAGCCTGGAGACTGATAGACCTCTGCCCAGCACCTTAATCCAGCACTGGTCCCAAGGTGCTAGCAGAGCTGCTGGAGTTCTCTTGTTGATGACTTGCTCAACTTTGCATGTTTGTTGTAATTGCATGTTAGCATCRCAGCTCTTTATCGTTCAAAAAAAGGAAATTCTTCTCATTTCATAGTTGAATAATCTTCTGTTTATGCTGGGGAGCAAACCTTTCGGGAAAGGTACAAGTGAAAAACTGTACAAATAGGAACTTCATTGTTAATCACATAGCACTGCCCAGAAGTGCAGTTTGACCAAGTATGCTGTGTCAAGAACGATGTTTAATGTAGAGCAGAGTCAATATTAAAAGCTCTTTTGGAGGTGATTTAGGTTGGGTGGATGAAAATAAATACACTTAACATGAAAGAAAACAAGCAAAATTAACTGTATTGTTAGAGTTGCTATTTGGTAGGTTTTTCTCTTAAGGCAATTTATTTCATTAGGTATTTTTCCYACTTGAAGGAGCAAGTCTTGACACATAAGTTGGAGGGGAAAAGCAGGCATTATGCTTGTTGTGTTGAGTAATTTGGGGACTAAATACTTGTCATGGGCATTGTTTTCCTTGCTTTTTTGTAACTCATTAACCATGTACTGTTTAGTTTTGTGTCATTGGATCTTAGCTTCTTCTAAGTGATTTATTTTGAATTCGGAGCAATTGGCAAATATGTGGAAATAGTTCTTTTGAAAGCAGGAAATCAGTATAAAGCTTTCTGACAGTTAACTGATGTCAGGAATGAGCCCCACATTTAAAAGTTTGGAGTTGTAGGCTGCTTCCCAGAAAGCTTAAAATGAAGTGAATAGAAAATTCTTAGGTACTTAGGATTATGTAACTGGTAGAACATGTAGCTTCACAAAATATTACTTAGTGCCATGGAAAAACTGTGTTGTACGCTTCCCAAAACATTAGGTCTGCAAGCCCGACTTGTAAGATCCTGTGGAATTTCTCCCTGCATGTGCTTAACTTTGAGTTTTTGTTGATTTTAGGTATCATTGGTGTCAGTGTGTAGAGGTTTGATACAACAAGGGAATATGGAACAGCACTCGGAGCTTGGAATTGTTCACTTTGGGATCTGAAGAGTTGCTGTGCAGAGCAGGCCGTCTCCRAGGCAAAAGGCTGTGTGCAGTTGGGGAGGGCAGCACGGTTATGGCCTGTAACACCCGAGCCCAGGGAGCACCCCGTTGCCTTTCACTTTGTGCTTGCATATAAGTTTYGAATGCTTAAGTTTTTGGGTCATGCCGAATCCTCCAGACAA